CCCCCCCCCCCCCCCCCCCCCTCGGAACCCCGCCCCCCCCCGCACACCTGCAGGTACCAGGGCCAGCAGAACGACTACGTGCTTCTGTCGCTAGTGAGGACGCGGACGGTGGGGCACGTTCGCGACGTCCGTCGTCTGGTGGTGGCCCTCTCTCGGGCAAGGCTGGGGCTGTACGTCTTCTGCCGACAGGTAAGATTGCAACAACAGAGCAAAAAATTGGAGTATACGGAGAGGTGTGTGTGTCTTCTGCTGTGTTTCTGCTTCTTTGATGTCTTGCAGTAAGAAATGTGTGCAGTAGTAATTCATCGATAGGTGTTCGCTCGTTGAATGAACAACGCATCGCTTTGGCTGATGATAAAATGACAGTCGCTGTTCGAGGAGGCTATGTATGGAAAATAACCGTCACCTTTAACTTTCGGTGCCATCACTTTCGACTGATGACAACACTCCCTTGACCGGCCATGATAGATAGAAGACGCCGGTGCGAAGACGTTTGGTATTTAACCCATCGTTTTGGCCGATGGGGATCAACAACCCACCAAGTTTTAACGGCAACAACAGCAGACTTGGACCGATTATTTCATCACTCTTTTGACTGAGAATGACAACACCACCCGTTTGGCTATTGATTTATGATAACCAACAGTCCCTGTTCGAGGACTGCCGCGAGCTGGCCCCGGCCTTCCAGCAGATGCTCAGGCGCCCCTCGAGGCTCCGGCTGGTGCTGAACGAGGCGTACCCGGGCGGACAGAGGCCGGCCACTGGAGACGCCGGCCCTCCCGCGGGGGTGCCCTTGTACGAGGTCAGTTTTTTTTGTCTCTCTCTCTGTTGGTACATAGAAGTATCATAATTTAGTTTGTTTTTTTCCTGTGTATATGGTTGGTGGGTACATAGAAGTATCATGTTTAGGTGGCTCTATGTTTTTTTTTTTTTCCTGTGGACATGGTTGGTTCATGCCGCCCGAACGAAGGAAAGGAAGGTCCTGTGTGGCCTCCCTTCCTCCTTCCCCGACCACGGTTCGCTTGTTGTGTACTACTGCTTCATTTTCATTCAAGCGAAATGAAGGAAAGCTGGTCCTGTGTGACCCCGTCTGATACGTGACACACATCTAGATGCCGGGCCCTTTTCCCTAGGGGACTCCGTTGTACCATGCGAGGTCTTCTCTTTTTCTTTGAGGATACTAGTTCCTTCATCCAAAGAAACTCACTGCAATGTTTGGATTGAGATGGTCGTCTCCAAAGAGGAGTCTTTCTTTGATTGGATTGGATTGGATTGGATTGGATTGGATGTACAGTTTCGATTAAATTTACACTTGTGTGACTCCGGCTGACAACAACACAGTCATGCATTCCTTCGGGTGTTGTATTCTGTGTGTATGTGGGGGGGGTGTTTCACCTTGTGTGCGAGTGTGTTATGTTGTGTCGTTCCAATATACGTCACGCTCGCGACTACCCTCCCGGCCGCCCTGTTTTTCCAAGCTAATACTCTTCCCGCATTAAAAATTGGCAGGCAAGGTACCGCAGGAGGGTTGAGTGGGGGGCCTCTTCTGTGTGAACCAAGGGTTGGAGTGAACGGCACAAGTGCTGTGAGCGCTGACATTAACTGAAGGCAACAACAACAAAAAAAACGGTGTGCCCCGGCGTTTGTTGTGGTGCGTGCTTGCGTGCTTGTGTGTGTGTTTGTTTCCTCTCTCCTTTAAAGCTAATACCTGTGTGCTCCGACGTTTGTTTTGTCTTGCGTGCGTTCTTTGCATGCGTTTCCGTCCCAGATGCGCTCTGTTACCGATATGGGTGTGGTGGTGCACCAGATGGCTTCGGCGGTGATGGCACACCGGTCCGCGCTGGAGCAGGTGTCGACCCAGCAGGCGGCTCTGCAGAAGGCCGCGGCGGAAGCTGCCAACGTGAGAGACGATTTGAGGGTGGGATGAGCTAGGGCCCTTGTTAATAGCTTGTTATTTGTAGTCTTGCTGCTATAATACATAGCATGTGTTTTTTTGTTTTTCGTTTGTTGTCGATTCTCGCTTGGTACTTGTGTACGCTCTGGTTCCGCGCAGGCCAGAACAGCGGTGTGATCGAGTATGTGGAGTAGGGATACGAACGAAAGAATGGCTAATAATGTCTATGTTTTAGATTGACAGCAGTGTCGATGTTCTAATCATGTCCACTGAGGTATACCTACCCAACAAGCGTATGTGGACTGCTGTTGTGGCGTAATGTACACAAAAATTTTACCCAAATGGCTAGAACCACTGGAATCGAAACCAACACTTGTGACCCTGTGTTCTGTATGTGCACACATGCTGGATTGCCAGGTCGAAGCACCGGCTGTGTGACTTGCAGTCCAGTAGTTCCATGACGCGCACTGAATTCAAGTCAGCTGCTTAGCGCATCCTGAGTTCAAATGAATTCCGTGGCGCGCACAGAAATCAAGGCAGTTCCATGGGGCACACTGAAATCAAGTATTGTTCGGGCATACAACAACCAATTGCTGCATGTTTGTCGCTACAATACCACAGGTGGAACTGCCGGTATAGTGGCAACTTGAATAATGAACTGCCGATATTGTGACATCAATATCTCTTGTCACAATCTCAACATGTACATGACCCCGATATATCGAATAGTGCAGCAACATGTACATGACCCCGATATATCGAATAGTGGCACTGCCCTGAATAGTAGCATATTTTGCTCTTTTTCCCCCTACATGCCACTTGTATCGGGCCACCTACTGTAATGGTTTTGGCAAAGGTGTGTTGCCGTCTCTGACTGCCAACTGTCAAAGCTTGCTCACTTTCTCTCCTTTTCGTCAGTGTCAGACTACTATTATGTACGTTTCACACGCCCCGCCGCGCTT